AAGTTAAATAACTATAAAAAAAAAAACAATGCCATAACGACTAGATACTTTTCTGCTGACCTCTTCTTTCTCTAGTATTGACTGGGAAGACAAGACTTTGCTTCCAGAATTAGAAGATCGGCCATTGTCATCTCCTGAGGAAGACTTTACACCCCACATTTGTCATGTAGGTTGTTGTGAATGCATATATGGGACGCAGTGATTATGATAATGATGTTGTGATGTGTGTGTCGTTCATCCCTACAGTTGTGTTGCTGCCCTGAGGTCCAAAATGAATATCGATCATGTTCCAGGAGTCAGTGTTGACAAAACTGTCGCTGAGTTTCTTCAACAATCAAGAGGAGTGAGATAATCACTCGACTCCCAAAACAGCCGATGTAAGTGTCTTTCTCTCACAATGCACAGTCCAAATAAACATGTTCAAGGATCCTGTGGATCAGGGGCCACTCCTGGTGATCAATAAATACTGATGTTGTTGATGATGAATATATCAAAGTCATATTTGAGTAGATAAAACTGATGTCTCTTCTATTATGTTTCAAAGGAAAATCTCTGCCAGAGGAAGACTCCAGTTCCTTCAACCTGGGCCCCTGAAGCGTGGCTGTGTGTGCGTGTGACTGTGTGTGCGTGTGGCTGTGTGTGACTGTGTGTGCTTGTGACTGTGTGTGCTTGTGTGCTGTGTGTGCTTGTGGCTGTGTGTGCGTGTGGCTGTGTGTGCGTGTGGCTGTGTGTGCTGTGTGACTGTGTGGCTGTGTGTGCGTGTGGCTGTGTGTGCGTGTGGCTGTGTGTGCTTGTGACTGTGACTGTGTGGCTGTGTGTGCGTGTGTGCTTGTGTGCTTGTGGCTGTGTGTGACTGTGTGGCTGTGTGTGCTTGTGTGCTTGTGGCTGTGTGTGCTTGTGGCTGTGTGTGCTTGTGGCTGTGTGTGACTGTGCTTGTGACTGTGTGTGACTGTGCTTGTGACTGTGTGTGACTGTGTGTGACTGTGCTTGTGACTGTGTGTGTCTGTGCTTGTGACTGTGTGTGGCTGTGTGTGCTTGTGACTGTGTGTGCTTGTGGCTGTGTGTGCTTGTGGCTGTGTGTGCTTGTGGCTGTGTGTGCTTGTGGCTGTGTGTGCTTGTGGCTGCTTATGAATTATTTTGAGGAAATGTGTTCAAACAAACTACAACATAAAGATTAACATTTTGTTAGATATCTCTGATAGTGTTCGCTGCAGCAGCGATGGATAAGGACCTGGATAATAACAGTGTTATTCATTTGAGCAAAAAGTGATAACACAAACGTTGCCTTACCATCACTTGTAATTATTTGTCTTAGTAGGGACATTGTGTATATTTTTCCGGCTATAACTTCAAATCTTCTTTTACATAATAAAGTTTCTTAGACTCGTTACAGACTGTATTTGTTTTCCTACTATAAAACAAAGCACATTGAAAGAGGTGAATGTATTTTTTTTTATTTTGAAATAGTACAACTACAAACATATTTCAGAACTGCAGAGTGGACGTGCACCATGGGGGCCACTGAGGACGTGCACCATGGGGGCCGCTGAGGACGTGCACCATGGGGGCCGCTGAGGAAAGCACGTTTTCAATGTCTGTTGGCACCTTTCACAGACGCATCAGGGAAAGGATCTGGTCATCAGCTTCTCTGGACAGAGGGCGTTCAGTGCTTCCTGAAAGAACCGTTATGACAAATGACTTTATATATTCTGTTACTTGTAGCTTTTCTTTCAAAGTGGTGAGTTTCCTTACAGTGTAATAGTGTAACGTAATTAGTTATGACAGTACTTTTGCGTTTCGGACAAGCTTTACTGGAATTGTTTTTCAGTCCCACATCTCACTGTACAGCTCTGATACACTTTGATTTTGTCTTCATTCTCTGAACAATAAGCACATAATACAGATGTTGATTACATCAATAAATGTATCTTTATTTTGTGACATTGAGAAGGCAGCTTCCAGTGAGATGCAGCTTTACTTTCACATAATACATTACTACAGTGTTGTCTATAAAGAACTCCAAATATACAAATTGTGAGGAAAGCAGTAATGTATTACTTTAAATAACCTTCATGTAAAGCTTTATATGCATTACATTCATCTAATACATATGCACTGTAACAGATGTTACAGTGCATAATGTTGAGACACGTCACACTGCAATCTGCAACAGTATGTTTATCACAACAGTTATCAGTGTACCAACTATAAAAGCAGTATTATTCTATAAAAGACTGGATTGTTTTTATCTCTTTCTTAGTGATGCTATCCTAGCTAACACCAAGCTGCTTCCAGTGTTATAGCTAGGTTACAACTGAGCTATTCTATGCTAATATTTCACTCCCAGAGTTTGTTGTTAATATACTTACGAGTAGACCTGACGGAGATGAATCTGCTGCTGCCATCACCAACACGATGCGCGTTCATGTGGTGTGACGTAGGGACGGGGGCGGGGCTACTAACTCGCTCAGGCAGAAGAAACTGCCGGAAACGACCAAATCGCTTACTGCTGCTTTAATCGTGTTAAAAAATTTACGCATTTAACGCATGTAGCGAATGACCCGCCCATGCATCCCATAATAACACTTAGAAGTGGCGTGGACACATCATGGATCTATAATAATAACACATGCGATGTTATGTGATGAGATGGTGACAGAGCAGGTAGGCATTAGTTTGCATTAGCACAACTTCTTATAAGCTGTACAGCTATCACTGATGAAATGGAAGCAAAGCAACGCACTGATAACACAATATACAGTATAATAACTGAAAGATTACCGCTAGTTTCGCGTCCAAGTGTAGTCCGAGCATAGATAGTCCGAGGTGGTCCCGCTCCCGCGGGTCTCTACAGAGGATACGATGTAAGCTAGCTATCTTAATCCGGGATTGATTTCTTCTTTTATAAATGTTTTGCTTTAGTTCCCTCTTCTCCTCACTTTTGTGTCTTTTGGGCGGTTTTACTGCTGTGTATGCAGCTACAGACAGACGAGGTATAGCCACCTTCTCCTGCCATGCTGCTGTTGTTTACATGCGCTGCAGACGCGTGGCCTAGGAGAACGAGCATCACGCAAAGTTTCTATTCAGCACTTTTTATGGCCTGAATTCATACCATAGAATGTACATATTCATACACAAGCTGAATCAGTGTGCTCAATTTTTTGATTGAATTATGGGTATTAATACTTTTAATAAAACTCAGAAAATATACTGTCTACTACAGAAAATTTTAATAAAGTTAATTCCGTTTTATGTGGATTTATCGTTAGAATAAAACAATACAGTACATATGTACACTATGTTGTCATTTATTTTTTCCATTTAAATAACCATTTACAGAAAAATATGGCATAATTTTGCCGTTAGTTCGAAATGTGATTAATAAATTTCTAAGCTGTAATTAACATCTGGAGATGGGTTTCCGGGCGCTGTACTACGGCGACCAGTGCTCCTAACGTAAGCCTTAAGCCTGGTTCGGCCGATTTTTTTCTCCGTGAGAGACCCCACACACACACACGGAGATAAAAAATCACGGGTCTAACCACTTTGGTCGTACAGTGTGTGGTGTGCAGCCACACGGCAAAATCACGCTAACCACACACGAACCGATATCACCCCCAAGCATTCACAGGTCACCGGAAATCTCACAACATCTCTCAAGATCAAGCGTGACTTTAGAGTAAACAGAGTGTGCTGGCCTCTCTGCTTCACGCAGCCTAGAGACTCTCGTCTGACCACAGCAGCCACAGAGACCATGAGGACAAACACATACATGTGGATTTTACTGCTCTACAGTTCTCTGGCCCGTACTGTCTATGCTGTTCAACAATACAGTTTGTACGGACTACCTGTGAACGCATCACAAACACACACTGCTAGACATGAACGGCTGCATCAACACGTCTGTACTGTATTAGGACAAAGTGCAAAGTAAACGTACAAACACAACCCATCAGTCTGATCATTTAGTGTACTAATCCCGTCCGAATAGGGCTTATGCCAACACTACCTGTGCAGCAGCAATTTCTGCCCATTTCCTCTCCTTGTCATTTCGGCGATGATATTCTTTACACGACACGTCATACATACATACATTCACGGTGTTGCCAGAGGTCAACTAGCTGTTCCTCCATCTCTGATGTCCACCGAACTTTCTGGTGCGCCATGCCGCTGACTGTTTTGGGTTTTTTAACGGTGTTTCCTTGTCGGCTCGTCTCGTCTTCTGTCATGGCAGTCATGACAACGCGCACGTCTGTCCCCGGGGGACACCACACATGAAGAGAAATCGGGCCAAAACAATCCAACATGTTGGATATCCCCGATATCGAGATCGGAGCAGTCCCGAAGTCCTTCCGAGCGACGAGCGCAGTCTTAACACACCACACACGGCAGGAAAATCCATCAGATTTTTTGTTACAATATCCGGAGCGTTCTTACAATTGTCGTAGGGGTAAATCGGGTCCAAAATCCTGCCGTGTGAACCAGGCTTTAGTGGCAATACTTTTGTTTTAAAAGTCAGATACTATTAGAGGACAAAGGCGTTGAGGGGCGGAGTTACACTGATTCTAGCATGGAAGACTCTAAAAACAACTCCAGGTCTGTTTTTGATGAGAGAACAATGTGACATGTTTCAAAGCTAAAACATATTTTGCATTACTTGTCCCCTTCATTGGGACTGACCCAGTATGTTTACATTGAGTGTAGTTTTTAACTTCCTGACAACTGAGTATTGCTCTGAATGTAATTTTGTTGTTTCTTGCAGCAAAAACAATGCATTAAACTGAATCTTAAATCATAGTCCAAAGTCCAACTAGATTTTTGTGGGAAAGTACAGGAGTTTTTTTTTATTATATAACTGCCCACATTCATATTATTATATTTTACAATTAAAGAGGCGACCACTACAATGTGTATGGTTAAATTTTGTGCAAACCTTTGTGAGTAATCGTATTCTGTTGTTCAAAGATATTGCATCTTTCAAGTCCAATATTTCCCACAGCATGCTCAAGGGAGAATGCTGCTGCCTGCTTAGTCCTCTGATCGAACTCACTCTGAGGCGTGAGGATCTTTTGGCCCGTTCCCAGTTGAGCAGCACAATCTCAGCCTCGTGTGGGTGGATGTGATCCGCTCTTGCCTTCGACTCTTGTGGGATATCAATGCAAACACAATCTTACCATTTGTTGCAGATGAGCTGAAGGAGAAGCTGCGGGACTTTGTGGCAGATGCGAACAGCCAGCGTCCGGGTTTCATTAAGATGGTGCGACATTCGAAGCAGGAGGGGCTGATCCGGTCGCGGGTCAGTGGGTGGCGCGCCGCCTCAGCCCCTGTGGTCGCCCTTTTTGACGCGCACGTGGAGTTCAGTGTTGGATGGTGAGTCACTTTACTGCTGCAGGACTACGATAACAAACACACAAGTCGTGCGGTCTGCGTGGGCCCAACTATCATTTATAAACAAAGAACATTGGCTTCTTCTGAGTGTGAAGACATGATGAGTTGACTCATGGACACATTGCAGAGATTCACTTTTCATACTTTATACCAATGGGGAAGTGCTAATATACAGTATAACGTCACATTTCATTGAATTACGACTGTGAGAGTAGCAAGGCTGCGACCCTGACAGGCCGTTACCCAGGCTATATCTAAGTCTAGGTTGAAAATCTAGCCTAGCCAACTGACCATATAACTGAACTCATCTGGGGGCTGTGAAACCTTTTTATTTGCTTTTTGTGTGAACTATGCTATACACATAATTGTTTTATTGTTGGATTTTTTTTTTTCTCATTTTAAAGTCCTTTTTAATATATTTTTTTGGGTATGCCTAATTCTAATAAGTAAGTTACAAATTAAACAATTTTAAAACATTAATAGTTAAATCTTCCAAATACAAAGTTTGAGTCAATATTTCATAGATCAATTATTTATTCAATGTTTTCATGAGCCTGAAATAATAATGCTAAGAGAGTAGTTTTTAGCACAGCGCAACCCATTTACATCTCATTTCATTCCCCATGTCATAAAATAAATACAGAATTAATCCACCTATCACCCTGGTAATGACGTTTTACCGGCTAATTTTACAATCAATTCATCAACCCTGTTTGGCTGCAGTGGACAAGATGATGATTGAATGTCAAAAACGACCTGTCAGACTAAGCGCGTGTGACTTAGATTAATTTTCTCTTCTTGTATTCCCAGGGCTGAACCCATCCTCCAGAGAATCCAGGAAGACAGGCGGCGCATCATCTCGCCTTCATTTGACAACATCAAATACGACACGTTTGAGATTGAGGAGTATCCACTGTCTGCTCAGGGCTTTGACTGGGAGCTGTGGTGTCGCTACCTCAACCCCCCGAAGAACTGGTGGCACAGGGGCAACAAGAGCGCACCCATAACGTGAGATCCCACCCAAATATATACCGAAATAAATATACAGAAAAATATTACTGCTGTGAAACAATAAAAATATATGATTATTTAATGTCATAGTTAATGTCATTTGATATTTTCATTCTTGTAAGAAAGCACCCTGTGAGTCACTTTTTGGCTTTGAGAGCTGATCGGCTGAGCGAAGGTGGTCCTCTCTTTATCACTTTTTTGTCGGATAAAGCTGATCTGCAGATGTGACAAAGGTCAAAATACATGCATGTGAAAATTTGTGATATAGACTCAAAATGTTGGTTTTTGACATAGTTCCTTTTTGTGTTTTCAAAGTGAGGTGTCCCAGCTTTAATGCTTTAATTTGTATTAAACTGCAACTTTTGTTATTATTTGCTCATTTAATATATCAGTCTTTTGAAGCTGTGAAACTGCATCTAAAGGGTTTAAATTCAGGTGCTTTGATGGTAGGTACAACTAGTGAGAGTAAAATAAAAAACTTTTCCTGGTACGATAGTAGATACAAAATGAGCCTCATGCTGCTAACATGTACAGAAACATACAGCTGTACTTTATACTTGCTTCTTATTTTTCCAAACGTAGAGATTTTATACTTTTTTATTATGTTAAAGATAGAGGTTTTTAATGTGTTCTTTTATGTTAGAGATTTTATTTTCTCTTAATTAGTATTGTTATTGTTCATTTATCTTGTGCTGTGTGCTCCTCATTCCTACTGTTCTGTGACTTGTGATGCAACACTGAAATGTCCCCATTGTGGGACAAATAAAGAATCTCTTCATCTTAATCCTTATTATAATATATATATGGCTTATAAGCAATGAAAAAAACCAAAATGGTCATTTTTGTATATTGCCTGAAAATGCAAAATAGCCATTTTCGATTTTCCATTTCCCTCCAAAAATAGAAAATGTATTGAACGCAAAAGTACACGGACCAAACATACTAAAATAATATTAAAAGAATATCTTCAACTTCAGGTTGGGATACCTAACATTTAAATAGAATTGTGTAATAAAATCAATGTAACCAGTTCCTAGTTTGGTTTTATCACTCATTCTCACATATTTTTCCCCTTGTCACATCAGCTATTCAGACATTTGAGAAAAGAATTGGAGGACAACCCTTACTCAGCTCTCACCCAAAGCATCAAAATAGTGACTCACATGGCTATTTCGCACATGTCTTCAAATAACAGTAAGACAGCTGCTCTGTTCACAACATTTCACTTGAACAAGACTCTTTCTATTGGGATAAACTACATATATTATTTATGAAGAAAAAAGTGAAGCATTCCAGCTTTAATTCCCTCTACAATAAACTGATCCTGGAGTTCTGGGGCAACAGACCTCCAAGAATCAGCACTTTCATCACACAAAAAGGGTGTGTTGAAAGTAACACAGCAGCCTTGATCCATTTCTTTCCTCAGGAGCCCGGCTCTGATTGGCTGCTTCGTGGTGGACAGGCTGTACTTTGAAGAGATCGGTTTGCTGGACGAGGGGATGGAAGTGTACGGCGGAGAGAACGTGGAGCTGGCCGTCAGGGTGAGTCGACGCTGCCTGTGGCCATTCTTCACTGCGATAATGTGCGGGAAATTAACTATGACCACGATGCCTAATGAAGGGCAGACTGTGAGCAACAGGATACAGATCTGCAGTGCAAGTGAAGATGAGATGAATGAATTGTAAAAAACACAGTGTATATATCAATCTTTTACACAAACACAAAACCATAATACAGACAAACAGCTGCTCATGGCAGGTTTAGATATCTGAAAATGTACATTCAAACACTTAAGGTAAAGGTGCACATTATTAATCCCCGTAGGGCAATTCATCCTCTGCATTTGACCCATCTTGATGCCGCTAAGGTTTACGTCAGGAGCAGTGGTTGCCGTAGTAACAGCGCCCAGGAATCCATCACCAGATGTTGATGCTTGGCTGGAGCTGGGGGATTAAACCTAGTGTGCATGTTTGTAATGGTATGGATGGGGAGAACATGCAAAATCCACTCAGAAAGGTCCTGTTCGAATCCAGGACTTTCATGCTGAGATGCGAGAGTGCAATCCACTCAGCCAATGTGCCGCCCTGACGAGGCTTGTCATAGTCAAGTTTTGTCATTCAAGTTTTTTTGGAAACAGGACCTTGGTATAGGTTTTGGTATAGACTTTGGTATCAGGTGTTATTCATACAGAAAAAAGATATGATCAATATTACCAATATGGAGGACTTTTCTGTCTTTTTAAACTAATTTAACACTAGTTGAGCTTACACAAACTTAATACTAGTTGATTAGTTCAGAGCATTCATTAAAATTGCATGCTTGTTGTGAGTTTACATTATTAATCTGTGGAACTTTGGTAACCCTCACAGAGTTCCTGGGAGGGGGGAGTTTATAGCCAGGAGAATTGCCTGTTTTAGTTTTTAGTGTTAGGAAAGTGAGGCTCTGAGTCTCACACTGCATCGTTGTATGCTTAATACTTATCTTTAATGGCATTAAAACGGCTGAAATGATCACCTCTGTTTGACACTCTGCCTCTGACTCCGCTCCTTTCACACCACATCCTTATAGTATAATTTTACATGTTTTGGTGACAAGACACTTTACCCCACTCTGCCTAAAGCTCCCACTGAATAACCAAGGCTGAGTCGTTGCTTACAGTGAAGCCATCCTCCTGTGGACTCACCATCTTCAGGTGGTGAGTCCACAGCTCTGGACCTCACTCTCCCTTGACCTCCACAACACCGACTCTTCTGTTCAAATCCAGACTCAATACTAACCTTTTCAAACTTTCTTTCCACACATGACCAGTCACCGCAACACCTTTGCCTACTTCTGTGGTTTTTGTATTTTATTTAACTCTGTTTTAACCATGTTTGTACTTGGGTGTTTTGAAATCCGCTTTTAAATCAAATGTGCGTGTGTGTCATTATAATTATTATTATTTTAATCCTATTCCTTAAAAAATTCTCAGCTTCAAGTGGCGAGTCAGATCACCTCCAAAAATCAATTAATCTGTTCCTTGTGCTGTGTCCAAGATGGATTGAAAATATGGTAAAAATCTGCCCATACAGGTTTCTTAGCTGTGATGAATTGTTTTGCTTCTGTGGCCAGGTTTTATATACACACTGTTTTCATCTCTCCCAAATACCAAACATCAGAGGAGATATTTGAGCCAGGACAAGACAGATGATCTGTTTAAATACATCTATAAAACCAGAGGATGAATAACAGAATAACAGAGCATAAAATTAGACTTGTTGACAAAGCTATGGTTTAGAATTGAAATGGTCTGCTACGCAATAGCAGATACAAGCCACATGCACTCCAACTATGAACTGTTTGTTCTTATCAGGTAATGGCAGCCGAGTTCGAATGCGGCTATAAAAGCTGCAGGTTGAAATGGTGGGACCTTATTTATCGTTGCAGAGCAGTATGGGGAGAGAGATAGACTCATGGTTTAAGCAATGGATTAAAGTGTAGAATATCAGAGGCAGACGCAACGGGAGAGAATTTAAAGCATATTCAAAGGAATAACAAAGCATTACAGTTGTCTATTTATACAGAATATGTATTTTTGTCAGAGTAAGGCTGCTGGGAACAGAGATTTGCTTTTGTGATTTCAAACATACTTTTCTGTTTAGTTTTACACATAGGGGTTCTGTTCAAAAATATATTGTTTTTATAGTCATGGATTCAGTTCATGTATAGAAGACAGTATTTGATCACCGACCGTCCAACTGCTTCAAAGCTAATTATATTAAAGAATGACTACACTGTTGCTGATGTGTTATTTTGATTAACCCCTACTCGTATGATGAGCAGGTACAACTGGATTGTTAAGAAATGTAGTTGCACAATTTTGTTTAATTCCCTTTTGTTTAATGAATTATCTTTATTTGGACAACAAATACAAAAACAGTGTACACAAGTATGCACAAAGTCAAAAAAGAACAGAATGGGAACAATTCTTTGTTTGGAGTCAAATCAAACAGTCTGGATAAACCTAGAGCAGTTTGAACTTATGCAAAAAACAGCTAAAACATAAATGAGGATTTTACATGGGTTCCACCTGGGTCGGCACTAGATCATATACGGAATACGAAACAGGAAGTAACAATCCTACTTTCGAATTAGTTTTAGACAAATAAGTCCTTAAGTGGTGACTGGTTAAGTTTTAGGTGTCTGAGTAAGATGGTTAAGGTTAGGGTTAAGGCTGGGTTGGGGTTATTTTATGGGAATGGCTGGTTAAGTTTAGGCATGAATAGGTAGTTTGTTATATTTACTTCCGCTTCCGTCTCGATTCCGTATATATGATCTAGTGCTGACCGTTCCACCTGGAGCTGGTTGCTTCATTACATGCTTCAGTGGTCATTGGTCATTCTACTCTCAAATGGATCCCATCCCTTAACTTCACCATCCATGGAAAATGTCAGCAGAGTTTGGAGTTTGATCATTGTCTGTGCAAAGATTGTTCTGACTTATGATTAGAGTAGATGAGTAATCAGACGCCAAAACTAGGGCCTCAGCTTCAAAAAGAGTCCAGCCATTAGTTTGTGCTCTTAAGGGTTCTTGGACAGATTCAGTTAGAATTGTTATCACATTTCTGAGGAATTCTTCTGAAACTGGTCTGAGTAGTAAGGGGTCAATGTTAATGTGTGGAATTGAAAGCATTTACGTGCCATGCCTAAAGTATATTTTTACATGCTCAAAACATTATCATATATTATTCAAATGTCTTTAATATCTCTCCATTATCATTGGACAATCTTTTCCATATGACCTTGTTTATCTGCCAGTGTATGTGCATTGTGTATACCAACCTATAACAACAGTCCGTTTGAAAAGTAGAATAATGCATATGGCTGGTGCTCAAAATCCCCATAGTAAGTTGTTCCTTGGCACTGTCAAAGTGACCAGATTTCTAATAAATCTTGCATGTCAGACAGGGTATCTGAAGGTCGCTTTGAGGTCACCTGTACTGTGCACATATTCTTATGTTAATGTTGTTTGTTGTAATAGAATGTCAAAAGTTTCAACTGTATTGTAATTGGCGTCTTAATAGTTAGTCAAATGTGCGCGCCCATGACAACGTGTGCACTCTTCAATTAAATTTCCTCTCCGGAATCACGGGCGGCATGTTGTCTCTAGTGTAGCTCTTACTACAATGCTTAATCACCACTAATTCATTCCGAAGTCTCAGAGACCAGCGCACGAGGGAGACGCCATTGTGGCTGTGCCCTGACATTGTTCAAAGCTGATAAATATACTTTGAGTATATTCAAATTTCAATTCAACAGCACAGGAGCAGATGGGTCGCATAAACACAGGGCTCCAAAGGGAAAAAGGACGATCAGACAAAGAGGTCTGTAATGCCGTTGTGTCAGGCTGCTTGAACCGAAGGAAGTGATTAACAAAAATGTCTCTTCAGATGTGAAATGCTGTTCATCTGTTGTTTTTTACTCATTGCACTTGATTTCTATTTTTACTCATATCTATGTATCTGGGAAGACGTTTTTAACAGAAACCAAATTTAATGAAATATATCTCCTAAAACAGCCATTCCCAAACTCAGTAACACCGAGGCCCCCTTAAAAATCTGACGGGTCTGCGTGGCCCCCCAAAATAATAACCAAGAAGACAACATTAAGAATAGGCTCTTCTGGTTATTTTATTTTGGGGAAATAGCCTCTGCTACAAACATTGTAATACAAAAATGATTACAGTGGATTATTCAAGTCAAATAATGAACACAAATATTTTAATATTACAAACAAAACATTATAAATTTAACATTAAATAATTATATATTTTTTTTATTTTTTTTTATGACCTCCCGCGGCCCCCCTGCAGTACCCCCTGCGGCCCACCAGGGGGCCGCGGACCCCACTTTGGGAGACACTGTCCTAAAACATCCTTCCTAATGATAGACGCAATCATGAGCAGAGAGAAGAAATGACTGTTCCCGTTAAACAATCACATTGCTTATTTCCAAATATAGTGCACAGTCCAACTTTTTAGCATATTTTTGGCAAAACTTGATCCTAGGATTGTACAATATTGAAGGACACAACTTATTTTTTCACTTGTTTTTTTTTTAGCAAGTTGTCCTAATTTTGTAAACTTCTTCCCTTCCTATTTAAATAGACTGTCAGATCCATCAATTCGTTTCAACAGTTTGAGCTCGTGGCTGCGGGTCGGCATGTTGTTTACTTGCCTGGTTTTATTGAACTTGATCTCGCCCTTGCTCGGAGGTTAATGTAGTTTAGAGTAATGGTTTTGAAACTCGGACTGACACTGCCAGTTAGGAGCTATGAGTCTGGAGGGCTCTAGCCACAGCTTGGCTCTCCCACAGAGGAGGCTGAGGGTCTGCCTGTCTGTTTGTATGGCCTCCTCCGAGACTAACTCCGAGCGATCCAGCGGCTTTGGCAGGCCTTCAGAGTTCAGGAAGCGGTGAGGGGGAAATGGACCCCTGATCCCTGTTCACATTTTGCTCAATGTGGATATTGATTATGAATATCAATGGATCAATTAGCATTAAAAC